AGGAATTTTAAAATAGTAATAGCAGTGGAATACCGTTGTTTAAGTGTTATCAGTTAATTGTTTTATGCTAATTTGCAATACGAGAAAGTTAAAGAAGATGGAAGATTCGATGTACTCAAAGTAATTGTTAATAATAAAAACTTTATGGTAGAACTACTTGAACCTTTATTAGAATGGTACCAAGAAAAATAGAGAAACTTATTGGCAGCATCAGCTAATTTTGGATTGATTTTCATGATATAAATAATATGTTAATGGAATTGATTTGTTATTAATGAATTAAATTTAAAAGAATTGACATTTCTTTCAAGGAAAGAACAACGTCGCCCAATTAGTGGTAGCAGTCAATCAGATGGCGGTTACAGCAGCGAGCGGCATATACCGTAGTGCAGTGGCGACAATGGTTTTGTTTTCATGAATTTTGAATCACAAAAAAAAAAAAAACAAGCGGAAAAGAGGAAAATATGATCGACAAGTAGATAAAATGATTCTCGTGAAAAGCAGGAAAGAAGACAAACTCACGAATAAATGACGGATATTTAGTTATCTTGTCAGATTATTGATGGTTAATGATAATGATTGTTCATTTCAAATTTGTGCTAGTGTACCAAATGTGTTCGGGAAGTTCCTAAAGAGTTGAAAATAATGTGTCCACATGTCCAGCAATGATTGAGAATCAGTGCTGTTAGTGATGTGATAAATATTGATATAAATAAAATGAACTGCATATTGATAGAGTTGAAACATTTCACAAAATGTATGTTAAATAAACAAATTTATGCCCATAAAGAATGAATGGACACTGTTTTTAAATGGTACCTATAGCTAATTTCCACGGATATCCTCTTGTTGCAGGGGAAATATTTGCATATTCTTATAAGGTTACGAGCTATGCTGGTAGTAAATGTTTCCGGTAAGACTTACCATGCCAGATAGATCATGATTGAAGAGCTAGACAAAATATTTTCATGATCAAGATGGGATCTTTAGTCTTCAGGCAATCTAGGGGAGAGGAACAACTTTGATCCCACACTTGGGCAGATGGAGTACATTTAGCCCTGATTCCCCTTTCGCTTAGCCGATTCAGCTCAGAGGATACACTAACTAAATCTATATCCTGAAGACTTCGTTGCCATCGTCGAAACTCGATAGGCCTTCGTAGATGAACTTTAGGGGTAAGGAATTACAATCTTTTACAGGAATTCCAGTAAATCGTTTCAAAATTAATTTTCCTTTCATTTCGCCTTCCCACACAAAGCTGTGAAAATCTTTTGTGATTGCATTATTGCTAATGATAGATATTAAACAATTCTCTTCGAAATTGCTATTCAATAGAGAGGGAACTTTGCTTTCAGTTTGATGGTGAAAACCTTCTGGAAGTCGTTTTCCTCGGATTTCCTTGGATTCCAGCGTTATCTCACAGTACTTTTTTTCTCGCTGATAAAATTCCGACATTCCAATTCATAAATTCAGAATTTCCCTGCATTTATTGACCACATTTGCAATTATTCCTATAAATCGATTTTACCGCAGCAGATGAAGCGATTAATATCGATCTTCCGTCGTTGGATTTCCTCCATCGAATTTTCGAAAAGCAACGATTGTATATATGGAACCGGCATGGAAATCAAACTCCATTTCAGTTAGATAGTTTACTCCTGTCATCGGTAATTCATCAAGTAAACATAATGCACTTAGCGAAATGCCTAGGAATATATTACTGCAGAGAAAAATGATATTAACTGCGAATTGTTGAAAATTGGATAAACTTAGACGTAGATTATAATATTTAATGAATAGAAGGAAATCCAATAACAATTAAAATGCCACGTCAACCATTTGATGAGTTTACGTCTTCCATTACCCACTTTTTTTGCATGGCTGTGACGTTAGCCTTCGAAATGCGCCAGAAATTCGAATTCATTTGGTGTAGTAGCGTGTATAATGCTATCATTACTACTAGTAGCGTGTATAATGCTATCATTACTACTAGTAGCATTTATAATGCTATCATTACTACTAGTAACGTGTATAATGCTATCATTACTACTAGTAGCGTGTATAATGCTATCATTACTACTAGTAGCGTGTATAATGCTATCATTACTACTAGTAACGTGTATAATGCTATCATTACTACTAGTAACGTGTATAATGCTATCATTACTACTAGTACGCTTACTCTCACTGAATATTATAATACTGAAACGTTTATTATTGATCATGGTCTTATTAGATTAGAGCCGCATTATACCTATATGTCATTCTGAAAACTAATAATTTAATGGCCTCGTCAAATATTCTAAATATCCTATCTGAATGTCTCTTCGTTATCTTCCGGTTTAATGCAACTGACCACAGTGAAAGGAATGGTATTGCCTGATGATTGTTGAGGAAGAGGAATTCCTTCTGTTGAAGGGATAATTTTACTCAATTAGTAAACGTTATAACGTGCATAATTTTGATAAGCATTGATAGCAAGTGAAGTCACGTAGAAAACGCGGTCAAATCTGAAACGTTTGAAAACTTGACAGGCTTATTCGGCAGTGAAATGTTAATGAATTGTTATTTGTTATTAAAATGTTATTAATAAGAAAAAGAGTTTACAATATTAGCGATTACGAATAAACTGAAGCAAAGAACCAATTAGAGTGAATAAACACATCAAACCTTCCATTCCTCAAACTCTGTTGCCAGTGTTTCGTTGTTATCATTTTTATGTACGTGGAGGATGCGTTTACGTTAGATCCGTGGAATTATTAACACCATGCCATCCTCTTCTCAGATGTTTTTGCCATTCAAACTGAAACATTTATTGCAGCAATATAAAAATATTCATCGTCTGTCCATTTTACTATCGCATTCCTTCCAAAGTTGTCAAAAAGGGCATTCTTGTTCGACACCGATTTGGTCGAATCTGTCAAACATTCTGTGGGTGAATATTGGCGTAATCAAAGCCGAACCTCCTCCGAATGTTAATCCACTTTAGATTAATACCATAGCCAAGGAACCATTACTTACACATTATTGCGATTATCCGATTGTAATATTTTTGACTGCAGCAATGCTCGAGTTTTAGCGCCTTCATTGGTATATTTGTCATCGCTACTAATCACAATGACCAACTTTACTGGACCCTAAAATTCATGTTTATCTCATTAGGCACCGAAGATTTCATCTTTCTAATTTGGTTGCAAGCTCCGTAGTAAAATCCTGTTCGTTTTGGTATATAACATACTGACCGATAAGTTCTAATAAACTTACTGGTTGGGCGCGAAAAAAAAAAAGCTAAATCGTATGCTTGGGTATTGTTGCAGTTAAGGACAAACATGATAATATCCAATGTACCCATTGAATATTTTGGTAGAGTTTTGCATTAGTCTTTTGGAGCAGAATGAATTATATTCTAATTGCATTTCTTAATTAAATCGTTTGTGCTATTATCTCTTCTGCTTGTTTTTCTTAGTATATTAAAGAGAGAGATATTTCATTGTCACTCAAGTATGATGACCATTTGATAGAGACATTTCAAAGAAAATTTAAAATCAATGC